TGTGTGTACAATCATAAGATGTACAATATATATATATACGCGTATTAACAAGAGCGAGCTCTTACCGAAGAGTGACCATAACCCTAGGTAGAATTCACGCAGTCAAAAGGCACATATTTGCTGCTCTAGCTACATTCCCGTTTCGCGCGGGCCAATTGCTATCCACGATTATTATCGCTGTTAATTCGATGGCAGAAGTGTTACAACCCTATTGTATGTGCTGTGTGTTAGAACGCATGAGTTTCGAACGCAGAATTGAGCTTCGTGAATAAGTGATTATCAGACGATCAGACTGTTATTCGTTGACGTATTGTCATTCGCTAATGTAACCTACAGATTGTTATACTCTTGAACAACGTCGTAACTTACTCCGAATTTAATTGTCGAATTTAATTGTTGAAATGTTTAAATTAATATTAAACAAAATCAGATTTACATTTCGAAACAAGATATTTTATTAAAATTTTTCTTTAATGCGATGCATGTTAAAAAGTATCTCTAGATGCTAGATCGAGTTTTAAAAAAACCAATATTTATTATCAAAAGATAACAAAATTCTTTTTACAAAAAAAGAACGGTGTGATAGAGTGATGTATTAATATTATTATTTTGTGTTAATATTATAATTATTATATTGTTAATATATATTTCTTTTAATTATATTAATATTAATTTATCTGAATTGTAAAATGCTGGTAATAAAACAAATATATTATATTATAAAAGATTACATTAAAGAAAAACTTGTGAAATTAATGTTGACTATGATGTAATTGAGTTGAAATTGGCATACTTTATGAAATATTCCATTAGCTGCAAAACTCAATTGAAACGAAGTTAATATATAAAATAAATCAACACGCAAATCAAAATCAACTTCTGGTTAAATAACTTATCGCCAAATGCAAATTTGATGCGTCTTTTAATACAAACATCCAGTATTTTTCAGTACTTGAATTATTTAACCATTCGATTCGAAACCGCTAATTAGCAGAATCAATTAATAAACAGCGAGTAGATATTTGCGATCAAACATTCCGTTTTAAAATTTGATAGATCGTTTAAATGGTTTTGAAGAGAATTTATATTATATAAAATAATAATTAATCTTGTAATTAAGTATTGGATAAAAGAGAGACTAAACTTGTGCTTTTGATGTTCCATGCGAGCAATTATCACGTTTCGGGTCAATGAAAGTTATATGAAAGTTATGTAGAATTCATTAACAACAATTAACCTTCATTTACACTAATTTGCAATTCGCCTAATTAGTTCAAAATTAATTATTTCAATTATGCATAATCGCCTAATCTCTAATTCGATTCGAACAAGTTAAATTAATTATCTTCCTCATAAACATGTAGGCATATAGGAATAACAACGCAAAATTAAGCAAATCGGAATTGTGTTTATATGTTAAAAATCGCATATCATTAAAAATATCCATTATTCACACTCTATATTTAATTGTGTGAAATCAATGTGTGTAAAATCAATGTGGTACAGTTTTTCAACTCGATGTCCATTTCGTAGATTAAATATCTCGACATTTCTAGGAAAGTGAACTTTTTTCAAATTTATTTTAATAAAACAAGTTTCTATTGAGGATTGATCATCTTAATAGGAATCTCTCTGCTAATTAATTCCTGACAATCATAACAGTCTGATTTAATATTATCATCTGCGTGTCCGAGCTCAGTTCATTGATCGAACGAATCGCACGGCGTATTACATACGTGTTCGATCGTCTGCTCGTTCAATGTGTGTGTGTGTGTGTGTGTGTGTGTGTGTGTGTGTGTGTCGTCTATGCACGCATGTGTGCGTATGTGTTTTGCGTGTGTATACATGTATGTTATGCGTGTGGTGCGTGCGTTTCCTTGTCCCGCGTGTATGAATGTTGTACGGCGTGTACACACGGCTGTAGACAGCCGTCGTGTCATCCGTTAGACGTCCACGAAATATCCATCGATCCGAAAGGATCTTCCTGTCTCCCGAGAGAAATTTCCCTCTGGTTCGAAGGGTGCATGATCGAAATTGACAGCGCCATTTGTCAATTCAAACATGGGCACGTTCACGCCTTCACAGGATGTCCCTCCAATTGATCTTAATAATTCTTGGACCAACTAGGAATTTACTCACGTTTAATCAGGATATTTGAGGAGAAATATTTTTCAAGCTAAAAAATAGAAAACAAGAAATGCTTATAAGTGATAATAAATGGGCTTCTCAAACTGACTTCTAAAATTAAATGAAGAAGTATTTTATTGTTGTTGTTATGTAAGTATCTGACTGTTATTTATTTAATTTTAAGAGATCTTTTCTTTTCTGAACTTCGTAGCTGCGATTTAATTATTAAGGTATTTGATATCACATTTAATACATTGAGACAAATGATAGTTCCCTGTAAAATTTCAGGAAAGCGTTAATTCTAAATTCATAAGGCAATCTATTATTAAAATTATAGTCGGATCTGGGATAGTCCATAAATAAAACGTTAGAAAATAAGGAAGAAATAAAGAAAAAAAAATCTTAAAGCTGTTTTTCGAGACAACTTTTCTTTAATGAAAATTTAATTGAGGATTTCATCTATCATTGCTTTTTCATTTTTGAAGCTTGAAAGTTGCAATAAATATTGCATTTTAAATTAAATTACAGTGAAATTCACTTGAAGTTAAAGGAAAGAATGAATTTTACTATTTTTTCACGTTCTGAAGATTTAATTCTTTAAAACTGATGGATCTTTGATATTAAATAATTTTTAATTTATGATAATGAATGAATTTATGATAAGTAAAAGAATAATCTCGGAAAATATATTCTTGTTACAATCTTTATTTAAAAGTGATTTTTACCTTGTTCGGATGTAATCCCATATATATAGAGAACCTTGAATTGACCGCGTTATTTAATGGCTGCTCGTAAAAGT